ACAAAAGTGGTGGTGGCAGTAGAGGGTTAGATGCGTAAATAACCCGACCCAGTAACAAGCGCATACAGGCTGCAGGCACCAATTGTAGCCCATTAGCTGAACAATCGCTGTGCAGGGTGCAGCTGGGTGGGGCCTTGCTATGCGCGTCACACCGTGGTTTTAGATTGGCGGGTCCTTCGGTCACGAGTTGGTGAGAAGGTCTGGGGTCTGATGCCGCGGGCGTGACGTATTACTGTTAGTTTCAGTCGTGCGATTGTCGCATGTTGGTGGCGGCGACAGTGCGATCGTGACACTCCCCATTAAGGATTGGCACCTTTGGGAAGCGGGTACCCGAATTTGACAGATACCTGCTCCCATTTCCGCTGCAATCGCCTAGGCAATAGGTTTCAGCTGGAACTCCATTTAAGCTTATGATCTACCAGAACTCCCAGATCCTTCTCCACCATTGATTTCCCCAATTGTACCCCCCCCCCCAGAATATATGATGCATGCATAATCATTAGCCCCCAAGTCTTAGCCCCCAAGTGCATAACCTTACATTTATCAACATTACACCTCATTTGCCACATAGTTGCCCAATTAAACAGTGCATTGAGATCAGTTTGTAAATTGGAGACATCCTGTAAGGACTTTTCCACTGCACAGCTTGGTGTCATCTGCAAAGACTGAAATGGGATTTTTAATCCCAGACCCTATATTGTTTATAAATACATTAAAAAGTAAGGGTCCCAAAACTGAACCCTGGGGTACACCTCTGACAACCCCTGACCAGAGTATGAATCATTAACCTCTACTCTCTGAATTCGGTAATTTAGCAAGTTTTCTATCCATTTACATACAGATTTTTCCAAGCTGGTAGACTTTACCTTACTGATTAGCCATCTGTGGGGAACTGTGTCAAACGCTTTCATAAAATCCAAGTATGCTACTTCCACCAGCACCACTCTGTCCAAGGTTTTGCACACCTCCTCATAAAAAAGAAATCAGATTTGTTTGACAACTTCTGTCTTTCATGAATCCATGCTGTCTGTTGCTTAAAATATAAAATATTTTTCTTTCAGCAAGAACTCATCTACTGTATGTGGTCTGTTATTAAACTCTCCAGTATCTTCCCAACTATAGAAGTTAAACTAAAAGGTCTATAATTACTTGGTAAAGATTTTGATCCCTTTTTAAATATAGGCACCACATTGGCCTTATGCCAGTCCAGTGGTACTATGCCAGACATTAAAGAGTCCCTAAAAATTAGAAACAATGGCTTTGAAATGACTATTTACCCTGTCTCTCTGCAAGAGAACATAGCCAGGAATATGAATGGTCCAGTTATGTGAAGAATGAAGCCAAGATTCAGCAATAACAATTAAATCATAGTTCTCTTCATGCACTAAAGCTTCCAATTCACCTATTTTGCTTGGCAGACTTCTGGCATTGGTGAACAAACACTTTAATTCACTGACACTTTGTGTATACGTATTTTGCATATTTTGTATTTTCGTACAAATGGTACTAATTCCAATGGTTGTTTGTATCATGGAAACTTTCTTATAACCTGCCAAAGCCCTTCCCCCATCTTTCTCCATTCCACCCACCAATAAGGACTGACCCCTGTCTGATCTATCTTCCGCAATATAATCTAATTCTCCCTCCCCCCTAGTTCCTAGTTTAAATTCTCCTCCAACCGTCCCATAAACCTCTCCCCCAGCACAGCAGACCCACTTTGTTTCAGGTGCAAACCATCTCTAGCATATAGGTTGCACCCCAATGAAAAGTCAGCCCAGTGCTCTAGAAATTCAAATCCTTCCCTCTTACATCAGGTCTTCAGCCATGCGTTGAGTCCTCTAATCACCCCCTGTCTTTCCTGACTTGCGCATGTCACAGGTGATATTTCAGAGAATATCATCTATGTTATACTTAAACAATCTAGCATATCCAATAACCTGGGAAGAAAAGGTAAAAACAAAAGATGTGAATTCCCAAGTGCACTCAAAAAAATTTTTAGTTTTAGAATAAATGGGAATGAGATTATTACTCTTCCCAGTGCTATCCAAAACTTTACAAAAAAGGTTTTGTCTGCAACTGACTTTAGTCATGAGGAATTAATTTTATAAAGGTGCCCTTGGTTTTAAACCTTAAAGTGTTACTAAACCAACAACAGTAAAACCAGTCTGTATATACAGTAAAGCATGTTATACTCACCAAGGAGGGGTTAATCCTAATTGTGTAAAAAGGCTGTTTGATCCTCCCTTCTATCATCCTCCCCTTCTTCCACAATCCACAATCCATCTGCTGATAGTATAGAACCCTAGGAAGCACTCTGCGCATGCTCAGTTTGGTGTTTATTGCTAGAAAGTAGTTTTTTTTTGGGGGGGGGGGGCACAGGGCCAATCAGCATTGTCCAGACAGAGGGTCAGGGGTCATGCCGCCTCATAAAATAGTCAACGGAGAATGAAAACTCCTTCTACAAGCTTTAACCAGTGTTTAGCTGGACACTGATAGAAGCCACAACACTGCTATATACTGCTGATGAGAAAAGGTATTTAGCAGTTCATATTTACTAAAATAATAGCATTTCCATGTTCTGTGTACTGTGGGAGACCAGATATAGTGAATGCCGGGTCCAGGGTTTAGTAACATTTTAAGCTAACCATACATGGTTAGTGCTTTTTTCTTCAGCCAGAAGGCAGAATGAAAAAAAAACCTAAAAGATTTGTCTATCCATACAAATGAGATGGATGGAGGAATCGCCTCTGCTAAGCCATTGGGATCTGACAGCAACACCCACTGCTGTCAGAGTACACTGATCAGCTAAAGCTGATTGGCTGTAGCTGCTGATCGAAGAAAACTTTCCAACATAACCCTTTCACAGAAGTCAAATGACCAAATTATGTTAAGCAGAGACAGCCACACATTGATCAAAATTCAGCAGGTCCCTTCTGAACTGGCTGAATTTTGATCAAGGTATGGCAATCTTTAGAGTTTTTAAATGGCAAAATTAGATATATTGCTAAAATCTTAAAAGGTATTTTTGTCATTCATGCTCATGAACCCTATGTGTTATGTTTTCAAAATCTACTCTGTTTCCACCCATTTCTAAATTTAAAACAGAACATGTGAGAAAGGAAACATAAGACACCAGTTGTTTTCTAATGTGCTGAAATGATCCCACACTAATTCTAAAGCATATCTTCTGTTCTTGTCACAGTTTCTAGTTTATACCCAAACTAAGAGCCCATTACACTTCCTCATTTTTATATATAGCAGTTTTAGTACATAGTAAATGTTTTAGCCTGAGCTTGCATCTTCTGTGTGCAACAAGGTTAACCATTCTTCTCTGGTTAGTCATAATCCATAAAGTGGTTTTGGAATATCTCTTAGTTTTAGTCTGTTTTTACTGGGTGATAAGTAAATGAAGCAAAAGTTTATTGTATATAGCAAACATTCTTTTCTCAAGCATATTTGAGATAGTAAAACTCATATAAGTAGTATCTTTAGATAGCATTGCTATAGTTCCACTGTATTTATTACAGAATTTGTAATGAAATGTACTGCTTATATAAGCATGTCTTATAGGCTAAACATGTAATGTGACCTGTATAGGTGGCAGGAAACATACTCGCTGACCCATCTGAGCTGTACAGACTTCGAGGATGGACCCGGCTCCATGGTAAGATCCAAACTTATTTCACTGTCCTATATATACACTGATGAACCAGAACTTCATGGCATGGATGCCACTGGAATTCTGAAGGTATGATGTGGTACCTGGCACCAAGCCATCAGCAGTAGATCCTTTAAATCCTGTAAGTTGTGAGGTGGGGCATGCATGGATCAGACTTGTTTTTCTAGCACATATCAGAAATGTTTGTTTGGATTGAGATCTGGAGAATTAGGAGGCCCAAGTCAACACCTCAAACTTGTAGTTGTGTTCCACAAGTCATTCTTTAATCATTTGTGCAATGTAGCATGGTTCATTATGTGGCTGAAAGAGGCCACTACCATCAGGGAATACTGTATGCATGAAGGGGTGTACTTGGTTAACCACAAAGTTTGGGTAGGTGGTTTGTGTCAAGTAACATCCATATGAATGGCAGGGTGTAACTTTTCATAGCAGAACATTGTCCAAGGGCATCACACTGCCTTCGCCAGCTTGCCTTCTTCTTATACTGCATCCTGGTGCTATCTCATGGTAAGCGACACACACATGCTGCCATCCACATGGTTTAAAAGAAAACGTGATGCATCAAACTAGGCCAAATTCTTTTATTGCTCCATGATCCAGTTCTGATGCCCTATTTCCCATGGTAGGCACTTTTGGCTGTGGACAGTATGGGCACCGTGACTGGTCTGTGGCTATGCAGCCTCATATATAACAAATGGCAATGCCCCTTTTTTCTACCTACTATACCTAATATATTTCTATTTCTCTGTCACTCTTACAATCTAATGTGCCTATAGCATCCATACACAAGTATAAGAGTTAAATTTGTCCATAAATACAGCATTATAAATTTGAGAAAATATGATTCTGGTATATCAGAATGGGATCCTTCCTTGTTTTAGCTCTTTTACACTTGTCCCAATTCATTAGTAAAAAGTATAAATGTTTTCATGTGTTAAAAAAAAAACTTGATTTGTGCCTTTGGGCCTTATTCAAGAACATTTTTGTGTGCACAAATATAATGCAAAGTTACATTTTCCCAAGCAAACTGTACTTTTGTTCTTTGCACCAGAAAGTAAAGTGATGACAGGGGAGAAGAGTGTTCCTGGAGGGTGATTGCTGGCTTTTGATTAATGCAGCTAGACAAGACAGTTGTGAAGAGCCATGTTTGTCTGGTGTATTCTGCATTACCAGCAAATGATGCTTATTATAAAACACAATAAAGTTTGGAACACCGATAACCGAAATTTATTTTTGGCTTAGCAAGAAGACACACAGTATACGATACACAGGGCTTAAAATTTCTAGTCCGGAGCTACCAGCCAGGCCTTAAGAGTTATTCGCCACCAACAAACACACATAAACAGAGACACCTGTACACACACACAGACATGTACATACACACACACACACATACACACACACACAGAAACAAGTACACACACGCACAGAGACACATGTACACACACACAGACATGTACATACACACACACACACATACACACACAGAAACATGTACACACACGCACAGAGACACATGTACACACACACACACACATACAGACACATGTATACACACACAAACATATGTACATACATACACAGACACACGTACAGACACGCATACACACAGATACATGTACATACATACACAGACACATGTACATACAAACACAGACACATGTACATACATACACAGACACATGTATGTACATACACACACATGTACATGCACACACATGCAGACACATGTACACACACATACATGTACATACACGCAGACACATTTACAGATACACACATGTACATACACGCAGACACATGTACATGCATACACAGACAAACACACACACACATGTACACACACACACCCTATAAATAGTTGCAATACTTCGTTGTTCACTCACAGAGCCGGGTACTGCAGTCTAGGGGGAGGCAGAGAGCACAGCACACACTCTTTTCTTTGCTTTCACTGCGCTCAGCTATTGAGCAGTCTGATGGCTCCCAGTGACAAGGACAGATCCGGCCTGAGCTCCAAGCCTGCTCAGCAAGGCGGCCCTGGGGGACACAGTCGCCCCCACCATAATTTCCACTCGCCATTGGTGAGCAGGCAAGTGGAAATTTCAAGGCCTGTGATACAGTATATGTCTGTGCTGTATGGACCACCTTGTTCAGCTTGGATTACATGAAATATAATGCCTCCAAAAGGCCAAAAAGTATTATATACAGACACATTTAGAGGTGTAGTTTTGGATAGAGCATGGAAGGCCCTCTGCCAAATTTTTATTTTAGTTTTTTTCTCTGCTGGAGAGAGTCACCTCTGTATTAGTCCAGGTTATCGTTATTTTTAAAGGGTAACCTAATTACCATTATTATTGAGGCCAAAAGTAAGTGTAAATCCTACTCTTTAGAACTGTCATGAAAGCAAGTAGTAAGGAAGAATCTCCCATGGGGACAAATGTTCTAGTAGGTCTGTCTAAGATGTAATTATGACCATCCTCTGAATACCTCATAGCATAATACAGATTAAAGGCAATAGTGTGGTAAACATCCATAAGAGTGTAAATCAACACTCCATAAGCAATAAAAACAGAGTAATTTAGGACTAGAACAAAGATCAAAAGAATGCTGATTTAGTAGTGAAATGGCAAATTGACTTGTATACACAAATGATTATACACATAACTATAGTAAAACATAAAAGATAAATCAATGCCATAAATATTAGATAGCATATTACCCTAATATTGCCCAGGTAGGAGAGCGACTGAGATTTCTATAGTTATAAATGTTTTGGGGTGAAGACCCCTTCCTCAGGAGAGACCTCAACAGATAGTGTCTCTATCTCATTTTTCAGCATCTAAATATCTGTTTGCATTAGTTGTATTCACTGCACATTTAAATGCCTACTTTGACGCCGGCATGCAATGAAGGGCAGTCATGACGTATAGATTGTACTCATTGTATCATTGCCCTTGTACATCCTTGTGGTGCGTGAAAGCTTGCACAGTATGTAGCATGTTATTGTACATTGCTTTGGGAAAGCCCCATTTATAATAAATGGCTTATAGTGCACCAATGCAAATACCATAGGTTGACACGCATTGCGGTAATGCATGTGTTACCACAAAGCATCAGTGAGAATCCTACCTAAGAGATATCAGCCTATGCTAAAGATGTCTGTCATATACCACCACACCTCCAAAAGCATTTATCACTGTCAATTTAGCATAAAATGAATTGATTGGTACATACCATGCAAATGCCAGTATGGCCAGAATGCTATTTCTGTCCTGCTAAAGTCTACTACACTGTTACCAAGTCATATTTTACCAAATTAACAATAACATTTGCATATTTGCTCCATTGTTAACACCCAAAACTTAAATATTCCAATGTGTATTCCTCATTATGTACTATTTTGGATTTTGCTGCCTTTAAATTATTTATAAATATTATGATATTGTAGAGTAAATACCTGGCATTACTGCGAATGAGGAGTGTTGCTAAGATTAAGTGAGAGACCCAGGGCACCCGTGGACATCCAGAGGGGAGGAATAAAGCACAACAAGGTGCACCATGACCATTGGTGGGTGTGTTTCAATTTGTGCTAACAGAAGCATGGTTAAATGATACCGAATTCTGTTTGCTAGATTCAGGGCTCACATATGCTACAATTCCTGTACCCACAAAATATGCTGACTTACTTTGCCACAAAGGAATGTCTAAAAGACTTATACAAAGCTCATTAGGAAATAACTACCTTGCAACCAGCAACTTTTGAGACAATAAAAGATGTGTTCAGAAATAAGTCATGTACAATATACAGTGCCTTGAAAAAGTACTCATACCCCTTGACATTTTCCACATTTTGTCATGTTATAACCAAAAATGTAAATTTAATTTATTGGAATTTTATGTGATAGACCAACACAAAGTGGCACATAATTGTAAAGTGGAAGGAAAATGCTAAATGGTTTACAACATTTTTTACAAATAAATAGCTGAAAAGTGTGGCGTGTATTTGTATTCAGCCCCCCTGAGTCAATACTTTGTAGAACCGCTGTTCGCTGCAATCACAGCTGCAAGTCTTTTTGAGTATGTGTCTACCAGTTTTGCACATCTAGAGAGTGACATTTTTGCCCATTCTTCTTTGCAAAATAGCTCAAGCTCTGCCAGAGTGGATGGAGAGCGCCTGAGAACAGCAATTTTCAAGTCTTGCCACAGATTCTCAATTGGATTTTGAATTCCGGACTTTGACTTGGCCATTCACATGAATATGCTTTGATCTAAACCATTCCATTGTGGCTCTGGCTGTATGTTTAGGGTCGTTGTTCTGCTGGAAGGTGAACCTCCACCCCAGTCTCAAGTCTTTTGCAGACTCTAACAGGTTTTCTCCATCCATCTTCCCATCAACTCTGACCTGCTTCCCTATAACTGCTGAAGAAAAGCATCCCCACAACATGATGCTGTCACCACCATGTTTCACGGTGGTGATGGTGTGTTCAGGGTGATGTGCACTGTTAGTTTTCCACCACACATAGCCTTTTGCTTTTAGGCCAAAAAGTTAAATTTTGGTCTCATCTGACCAGAGCACCTTCTTCCACATGTTTGCTGTCTACCTCACATGGCTTCTGGAAAACTGCAAATGGGACTTCTTATGGCTTTCTTTCGACAATAGCTTTAATCTTGCCATAAAGGCCAGATTTGTGGAGTGCACGACTAATAATTGTCCTGTGCACAGATTCTCCCACCTGAGCTGTGGATCTCTGCAGCTCATCCAGAGGTACCATGGGCCTTTTGGCTGCTTCTCTGACTAAAGCTCTCCTTGCCCGGCCTCTCAGTTTAGGTGGATGGCCATGTCTTGGTGGGTTTGTGCCATTCTCTTTCCATGTTCAGATGACGGATTAAACAGTGCTCCGTGAGATGTTCAAAGCTTGGGATATTTTTTCTATAACCTAAAACTGCTTTAAACTTACCCACAACTGTATCCCTGACCTGCCTGGTGTGTTCCTTGGCCTTCATGATGCTATTTGTTTACTAATGTTCTCTAACAAACCTCTGGGGGCTTCACAGAACAGCTGTATTTATACTGATATTATATTACACACAGGTGGACTCTATTTACTAATTAGGTGACTTCTGAAGGCAATTGGTTCCACTAGATTTTAGTTAGGGGTATCAGAGTAAAGGGGGCTGGATATAAATGCATGCTACACTTTTCAGATATTTATTTGTAAAAAAATTTAAAACCATTTATCATTTTCCTTCCACTTAACAATTATTTGCCACTTTGTGTTGGTCTATCACATAAAATCCTAATAAAATACATTTATGTTTTTGGTTGTAACATGATAAAATGTGGAAATTTTCAAGGGGTACGAATACTTTTTCAAAGCACTGTAGCATAAAAAGGGCAGTAGTCACAAATATACAATGTACTTAACAGTGTAGTGGTCAGGAGTATGAAATGTACTTTAACCCCTTGACGCCATCGTCAAACAAATATGCAGCCTCACAGAACTGGGCTTTTTTCTGTGGGGCCACATATTTGCATACCTGTCTTTGTGCTGGGAGCGCGCCGCACTGTGCGCTCCCAGCACAAAGACCGTGGTGTCACTGAGAGCCCCGGGTCCCGTTCTAACGATCGGTACCCGGGACTCCCGATTCCGGGTCACATGACTGATTCTGATTGGCTATCACAGTGATCAGACACTGTGCAGCCCAGCCCCCTTGTTTTTTTCTCTCTCTATGAATAGAGGAGAGAGATGCATTGCATCTCTCTAACTCCTAGCATAGAGAGAAAAAAAATGTAAAAAAAAAAAAGTAAATAAATAAATATTAAAAAATAAAAGAAAAAAGTAAAGAAAAAATACCTAGAGCAAGGTTTGATCTAGTTCAGTGCCAGGGTTATTGTTTGGGTCAAGGTCAGGGTCAAGGTCAAAAGGTCAGGGTCAAAGGTCAGGATTTTTAAAAAAATGGTATCAGTGTCAGGTAGTGTCAATGTCAGTGTTAGTGTGTTTTAGGTAAAAAAAAAAAAAAAAAAAGACAAAAACAAAATGCGCATTTTTGTTTCTGGGCTGTACTACGGGTACAAACAACAAATAACATACACATATATGTTATTGCTGCGATCGTCAAGAGCTGGAGAATTTATTTTGGATTGTTCTTTGGTGGTAGGTTATGGTAGTAACAAGAAACACACAGCTAAATAAAAAAATGATTTTTTTTTTTACTATTTTGGGCTAGTTTTCCTTTGATAATAAAAAAAAATCAGGAGATAACCATTATCATTTACCACCAAATGAAAGCCCAATTTGTCCTGAAAAAAAAAAGCGGTATAATTCACCTGGATGTACAAAGTAGTTGTGATGATATGTACGGTTTTACTAACACATGTCAATGTTGCAAAATTTTGCTTAGGCATTTAGATTTGTTTTGCACATTCTCGGTTTTGATTTTTTTGTGCAATTTACACACTCTTCCATCCTATGTGTGTATGTTGCAAATTTTGGCCCTGAGCCAAGAGCATTTTTACTTGTGCATTTTGTCTTGATTCTCTTTCCTTTTGTCACACGACAGTGCACATTTGACTACTGGACAGAATGTGGCTGTCAATACACCTATTATAACCACACCTCCTTCCTGCAAAGTACTGATAAGTAAGGGGTAACTGCAGTTACATGAGTGCAGAGGAAAACATTTTCTAGGATTCTTTGGTTCTTGGGAGCCTTTTTCATAGTATACAGTGGTGTTTTACAGATGAATATTAAGAGTTTGTTACTGGAAATATCACCAGGTGGAAAAAAAGCCTGAAAAAGAGAACTAAGAGTCACCACATCCAATGACTGGTAAACTGCAATATATAACATGTTTTTTCTTGGGTTTAGATACACTATAAGTGACTGGAGTCAATCTGGCATGTCTTTGCTTTTAGTTTTACGGTATAATATGTATAATAGTTTTTTTACTGTACTCCTCAGGGCTGGGGATTAAGAAGCATCTATGAAGAAGTGTCTGAAATTTTTTTGAAGAAGCAGAAGGTGAGATGCAATTCTCTGGGTCTCACGGGGGTTTCCCCACAAAATCACATGAAAAAAACAACTCTGCAAGGCAGCAACCCAAT